GGAACTCTTCTGTATATTAGACCTGGGAAAGCAGCAATCAGCTGTATCCACAAGTGCCGTTTTCTGCAATAGCTAGGCATAAGGCAGGATAGGAGTGAGACATGATGCATGTTGGTTGGGTTGAAGTTTTATTTTACTGTAAATGTACAAATTGAAGAAGAGGGGGGGGAAAGAAAGCTTATCCTCATCACATACACCCACTTTGCATGACATCTCTGACCACAATGCTGACAAAATCTCTGCCTTAGCTGCGAAGGCTCATGTAAGAAGCTTAACACTACATTAGAACCATGTGGGATCATCCCCGAGTGGCTGATCAATGATTTAGGATAGGGGGAGGAAAGCATGCAAGTGTATTTGCTCTTCAGCTATAAAACCATTGTATCTAGCATGAGGACAATCACTGGTGGCAATAGTGTAACTAGGGAGGGGCGAGTAAGGCTCCAGACCTGGGCGCTGACTATAAAGGGGAACCAGAATCTCCCCCTGCTGTGAGTCTTTGCCATGCAAGGGCAAGCTCGCGCTGCCTGTGCCTGGCCATAGGATATGATAGTCAGGGGTGCGCCACACCAAGTAGGGTTTCTGGAGGGCAGGGAGCAAGCGGGGCAAATGTAATGGTGCTGTCCCTGCCCTCCCCCTCGAGCCTTTGCCAAAACCAATACATCTGTGTCTGTGGGGGCGAAGGGGAATGAATAGAGCACCAGGATGGCTCTCAGGGAGCCCAGCCACAGGGCTTCTGCCTCTGGAGCTGATACTTCCACAGCAGAAGCAGTAGCTTGGGCAGCTCGGACTTCCCATACTTCAGCCACACCTTTCCCTTCCCCATCCCAGGTGCTCGATGAACTTGCTATACCTCTGACTGCTGGTGTGGGTGGACTAGGCACAGCTGCCAGTGAGAACAGCTCAGTTGGGGAGGATGGACTCTGCTTCTGTTTTGCAGTCTATGACAGGTTTCTTTCCTGTCACATGAAAAAAAAATACTGACAGTAGTTGCAACCTGCTGAGCCCAGTTCTCAGGATTTCAAAGGGGAAAAGAGCCAGAAGCCATTACCTTTCCCAATGGGTATGTTCCCAATCAAGTCAAAAGTAGGTTTAACCACTGCCTTTAGCCAGCTTGAGCTCTCAATGCATACATGCGCTAGCTGTGAGTCAGTACATAGGTGAAATGTCTGCTCATCCTTCCAGTTTTACACTAGTATCATGTTCGAGGCCACACCCGAAGCCCTCCTGGCACGGCCTGTCAGATTCCAATGAAATCTATGATTTCTGCTAAACACTTTGTCACAAGGACACGAAAAAGGAAAGAGCACCACTACCATCAGCTAAGTTCTTGTTTGTATTCTCCCTCAGTTACCCTGAGAGAAATTTTGGCTTGGGACAGGTAGTGCTGTTGACTTTGTGACACTGGCACCTTTACACCATAGTCATGGCATACAAAGAGAAATGGCTCAGTGAGGATTTCCCTGAAGTCAAGGGGTTCACTGAAGGGTGAAACGATGCCATGACAGCTCTTGATTCGGTTCACCTGCAGTTCATGTCATAGCAGGTACATGAGATGGATTCAGTGTAAGCCACATTATGGATGTGGCTAAAGCACTGCATACTCAGCTATGGTGCACAGTCCATAACAGACAAAACACAAAGTAGAGAGGCCCTGAGGCTGCTTAAACTGATGACAGAGACTACCTGGGCTTTGGGGAGCCTGAGGATAAAGGGAGCACTAAAGTTCATTTGAAGTTTTCTCTGTCCTAGCCCTCCATTCTTGTGTTTGACATAGGAGTGCAGAGAGAAATGGATTATTAGCCTCTGAGAAGATGGAGTGTTTTATTCTGTCCCCTCATGATAGCTAACAGAGTCCCATAAAGGTCCCCTCAGTTGTAAGGTCCAGAAGGCAGAGGTAAAACAAGAATTTTTTGTTACCAAAATGTGGGATGTGAAAGATTCTGGACATTACCTCCAACAAATGGCTATAAAAGAGCATACAGAAGAGAAACAAAGCTAAAGGAAAGCAGTGTGACATGCAATCACAAATGCTGGACATCTCAACTGATTTCAAAGGTGGTGAGCTTCAGCAGCTCCCACTGAGTTTCATGAGAATTGCTACGTAGACACTGATGGAAATCATGAATTGGTCATGAATCATACCAGTAAGGGCAGACTTTGGGGTAGCTCTAAACTGCATGAGTCACACATTGGGGTGGTATGGAAAAAAGAAGGCAAAGCTCATTTTGCATTCCTCTGATTCTGAGGCAGGACTCACAGATCAGCCCCCTCTTGCTATATTACACCAGCCTAAGGGGGCCAAAAAACCTGCCTGGTATCAGCATAACCCAGGAGCATACTGGTCAGGCCCTTGTCCTCCAAAGACTCCTATTATGCCTGCTGCAACAGCAGAAGGGTGGGTAAGTGCAGTAAGATCCCTTATGTCACTTCTATGTCATCAGATGATCACTGGACTGATCAAACTGCTGTTAGGGCGAGTGCAGTGCAAAATGGCCAGGCCACACAGGAGCACCTGGCCAATAAAACACTTACTGCATCATCTACATACTCTTCCTGCCACTTGATAACTGTCCTCTACGGTATAGTTCCTAGGGCTTTGTCTAGCCTGGTTTTAAATGTTTTGAGCAATGAGGTTTCTGTCACTTCCCCAGAGAGACTAGACTATTCCACACTCTAATGAGTTTTACCGGTAGGAAGTTTTCCTGACATTCAGCTTAAATTTACCAATTCTTAATGTCATCCCATCATTCCTTTTATCACCCTAGCAAGCAAAATATGTTTAAATTAAAATAGACTTATTATAAAATCTCTGTAAAGTCCTATGTTGCCCCCAGCATGAAAATTCCTCCCTTTGGAGTAGAATAGGCCTTTATTCTGTGCTGTATTTTTTTCCTATCAGAAAATGAGGAAGAAGAATATGAATTTTCCCCATGACTTGAATTTAGCTTCATCAGCAGCCCCCTGCTGATGTAATTCATCCCAGCTAGCATTTCTGTGTGAACTGTTGTCCTTTCCCTCTACATCAGCTCAGGAATGGAAAGCAGGAGAGGAATGAGGAAAGCTGGACTTATTATCTAACAAGTTGCAGTTTCAGGCTGGGCAGGAATAACATTTCAAAGAATGAAAAGCAAATTTTATCAATCCTTTTCTTCCCTGGAGACTGTCACAGAAAACACTCTTTGCTTGTTACTGAGAATCAACAATTTTTCTCTTTCATTTCTGTTTTCTATCACATTTCATTTTGGCTGCCCCTTCTGTCTTTCAACCTGGGACCTAGGCTGCCAATGCAGGCTCACAGATAACTCAACAACAAAATGCCCATATTATCATTATTTTCCCCCTCCACCCAGCAAGGTAATTGCAACCCTAAAAGGGTTTGCATATTTACAGCGGAAACGCTTCCCCCCTGGAGGATGGGACTGTCATCGGGTGGAATATTTCATTTAATAAGCCTCTTCTGAGGTATAAACTACATTTTTTTTGGCATCCTTCAGAGCAAAGGACTAATAGATAAAAATCAGCTACCGCAATGCTACACTGTCAAAGTTCCCACTGCTGTGAAAATTAACTCTTTCCCACCTCACAGTTCTGGGCTTGGCCTCTGTATCTGAAAACTGAATAGTTATTTGGTAAGAAGGAGTAGCTGAAGAGAACATAGCACACATCCTGGCACTAGTCCCCAGCCTACTCCTTAAAAGAGGTGAGCAACCCCCAACAGAAGCAGAGCAACTAACTTGTCTTTCTATAAGAAAGAGTGATCCACCATGATATCCCTTCACCTGCTGCCATGGCAGACTGACCAAATCAGTCATCAGAAACAATTACTTCTCACTATTTCCCTTGGTTTTGCAGACTTACAGCAACAGAGACAATGCCTGAAAGTTTCTAAATACAGCTGTTACCTGAAAACAAATTCTTTCTTTTTCACCACCTACGCAAAAGTGCTACCCCTCTTCTGAATCCTTGGGGTGCTACGAGTCAAGGCAGCAGGAGTAACAGGGTGGTTCTTCAGACAATCTTCAGACAAGGATTTGCTTTCTTGAGTCAAGGCAAAAACTTCAAGGATGAAATTCACCTTTATGCAATGCAGCTGCACAGGAAGCATATTCTGTTTCACAATCTGGAGTGGAATGTAAATGCCGAAGCTGCACATGGGCCCCCAGTACAGGTCAGAGTTTCACCCAAAAAGCACACATGCCCATGTTTAAAAGATAAAAAGCATAACAAATGGAGATCAATAGTCTCTGGCCAGGCCACCAGCCCAAGTCCCTTACAGAAATATTACAATGCACATTCATCCCTTTTCTCGACTCCATTTCAAACACAGAGGCCGAAATGCCTTTAAAACAAGATTACACTCTAAAACACGTTTTTCTTCTCCATGATCCAAAGCCAAGTAAAAACAATGGTAGTCTTTCCATTGACTACAGCAGGCTTTGCATTAGGCCCACAGTCCAGAAAATTACTATTGCCAACATCTTTGAGGGATCTGTACAACTTCCATTTTTGGTCTCGCTTTGTTTTTATAGAGTTCAATTTTCAACCACAGAAGGCACCTGTAAGTTCATATTTAAACGTATCTACTATTTTGACCTAAAACCTTTCTTAAGCCAACCATCTGAATCTTGCATTGACTTTAATGGGAACATCAACAGCATTCAGGTTCTGGTCCATATTTTAGAGAAAGAAAACATTGCTCCTTTTCTCCTGTGGCTAAGGCATCTTTTCAATTGTAACTAAAGACCTTTTTTTCTTAATGTCAAATTTTGCAAATTTTAGAACAGTTGTCAACACAAGTGAAACTCAGGAGGTTAAGATACTTTTCATCACTGAAAATATATAGCCTATTAGAGACCAGCCATCGCAATTCAGGATTAAAAGGGCTTCCAAAGGTATCAGAAAATCACAGCTGATTTTACATGCTTTTATAGAAATTTTAAAAAATCCTTCTAGGAAAATATCTCCCTTCTTACTGTTATTTGATGCAGTTCTCTTACCTGTAATATCTGGATTGAAGGTAGGTTGAACACACAGCTTTAGACACATGGCTAGCTGAACCAAAGTCTATGACCTTGACCCTGTATGGTTGTCGAGATGGGTCTACCAACATGATGTTCTCCGGCTTGAGATCCGCATGAATCAGACCCAGGCTTTTCAGCTTCATTAGGGCTGTGGCTACCTGCTGGAGGATTGGCCGGATGTACTTAAGGGGCAATGGACTGAACTTGTTTTGCTTTAGGAAATCATAGAGGTTCTGCTCCAACATTTCAAAGACCAAGCAAGTGTGATTTTTGTGCTGGAAGCACTCATAGGCTCGGACAAAGTTGTAGTCATCTGCACTTTCCGTGCTCAGCCGGGCCAGGATGCTCACTTCAATCTGACCTTGTCGGGCGTAAGAAGGGTGGTTCTTTAAGATCTTGATGGCCACAATCTCATTTGTGCCACGTTTCCAACATTTGACTACTTGTCCAAAGGTTCCCCGGCCAAGAAATTCTAATACTTCATATGTGTTGGTCATGGAACACAGCACCTCATGTTGTACCAGCTGGTAATCCCCCTCGCTGTTGGAGCCACTGTTTTTGGATGTGGCAGTGGATGTGGTGGCGGTGGCTACTGTGGCCCCACTGGCATTATTCTGAATCATTGGTGGATGCTCTTCAATTATCTGCACGCTACTTGTGTTCTCAATTTCCTCACTCTTGCGCTTAAGTCCACATTTTTGGTAGGTGTCCAGAAGGCTCACAGTGCTTCGCCGCATCAGGTTGTGTGGGCCACCCAGTGTTTGCCCAGACACTGCAACCACACCAGAAGTGCTGTTGGCAGATGTCACCACAATGTGCCCTGTGCTTGCTGGGAAGATGATGGTCTGTTCGTAGGGGATGCTGGGGTTGGGGATCTGTAGAGAAGCGTTGACTGCTGCTGCTGCTGCTTGGGAGGATTGCACGTTCTTGCTCTGGCTGTAGACTTTGCTGTGTGTGCCGTACCCAGTCATATCCCAATTAGAACTGGGTTCCACTTTCAGTTTCTTCACACTACAGAAGGCACTTGACTGAAGGGTATGAGGAGAGAAAACCTGCACATGCGAGGCCATACCTGCAGCATAACATTAAAAAAGAACAGCGTCAAGATTTCTTCTTCAGCTTTTTAATAATGCAATGAAACAAAATGGGAAACTACCTTCAGATACAGCAAGAAAATAATGGGGCTCTTACATATTAAGAGATGTCTCCATTACAAATTAAATATGGTACAATGAAATACAATGTCAATACTTGACTGAATCATGGACAGTGACCATTATTCTTTCTTTCTTTTCCTCCCTTGTTAATACCAATAACTTAAGGACTTTTCTTTTCTTTTTATCTCTTCTGACTGAAGAGTTTCTATTCCCACTTTTTCCAGCCTGGTCTTTAAAAACTGATGAAGAACACATGTAGTGTGGTAGCGCAACAGTCTTTTACCTCTGGTGGCCAGAGTTCAAATCCCGATCCATGTCATACATGAGATGGCTTGGTGGATCTCTCTCTTGCTCCCTATTTGTACATGTAAAAGCACCATACAGTTCATGGTCTCTGCTAGGTAGAGGTCTGGGATGGGAACAGCAAGTGGTTTTGCGCATTAAAATAGTATGTCCTGACAAATTTGTCTGTAATCTTTACTCACATTGTCCAGCACCATAACTGAACAGTAGAGCCCACTGAAGTCAACAGAATTACTCATAGAATGAGATACTATTCAGCCTGAGTAAGAGTGACAAAATCTGGTTCCTAAATTAACTCAACATTTTTTAAAAAGATGAAAACCTATTTTACTGCAGCTTTTTTCTTTGAATAAAAAACTGCTAATAATCTTCTAGACATTTATAACACAAATCCCCAATAGCCCCGGTTAAAAGAAAATAAGTGTTGAAATTTAAGACAAACCTCATTGAAAACTGTGGTTTCATTTTACTGAGGTCAAAAGTGCTCAAATTTGGGAAACCACTGATGACCCAAAGCAAGTGGAAGTCCAAATACAGAACATCTCTCAAGTTCCTCTCCCCACAGTGGAGACTACACTTTTGACAGGCAGGCATAGAAAACTACACAAACCCACATGTGGATTTGCATAGAAGAAGCTGATGCTCTCACTGAATTAAATCAGCTGATGCTCTGGACCCTTCTCACCAACCACTGCAAATCTTTGTTTTTAATAAACAAGATTGACTAGGAGAAAATAAAAAGATAATATGCTGAGCTGGCAGCATCACTGGATTTTTAAGTGCAAGCACAACCTTGACTTTTGTGAATTTAAAAAATAATAATACTGAAAGAATGTTTCAGTAAGAAAAATACAACAGGAAGAAAAATACAACAAAGCCAACAGCACGTCCACAGACGACATGAAGTAGCTTTCTGGGTGGACAGAGTTGAGAGTTCACAATACTCAGCTTTCTTACCTGAACATTTCTGAAAGAAGCCAGCTCTTGTCTAGCCCCTCCCAGAACGTGTTCTAAAAATTAATTTATGTTTGTGTATATATATATATTTATAGATATAGATATATATAGGTATAGATATAGATATATAAATATCTATCTATATATACACACACAGACAGATATATATATATATTTATATATATCTATATCTCTCGATATATATAGATATAGATATATATATATACATATATATATACATATATAGATATTCATATAGTTACTTAGCCATTTCAAAGTTGAGTAGTGTGGGGGAAATAACTCAGTTAACCACACAGATTCACATTTGTAGACAAATCTTTCAGTCAGTTTTCAGCAGTCAAAAACCCAGGAACTAGTTATGGACTAGCTGGGGTGAGCTGGAAGTGTATTCTGTGCAGTTATATTCAAATAACCCCAAACTTCCCAGTTGCTACAGAATTCCCATATTGCAAAAAATAGCTTTTAGAGATGAAGAAAGTCAAAGGAACACCTTACTAAGATGTGGGGAAACCTGTTTGCAGCAACATTTATTAAAAACAGCCTCCAAGATGCCCACGACTCAATCCTCAGTTCTCTCTCAACCCTCCCTCCCATCACCTAATTTTTTCCTCTCCTTTCCACAGGGTGACAACATTGCCATGAATGACTTCGCATGTGGCACACAATGAGCTCAGAGAGCTGCAGTAATATTACTCAGCTTGTCATCCTGGACACAAATATCGTGTCTGAGCAAGGCTAAAACAATGTTTGTTTTTCCGCTGATTTCTAAGAAGAGTCACAGTGTTCTTTCTAGTACCGACCTTTCTGGGATAGTGGGTTGGTTTGATGTATGCTTTCCCCCTGGACATGAATAATAAAGCAGTTGTAATTGGTAACATATTGTGGACCTAGCAGAGGTGTAATTTATAGTTTTATAGCATTCATTCTGCGGCATGCATGATCAACAGGTCTATAAAACTCCTAACACAGAAAAAGGGGAATAGAGCCAAAACAGATACCCCTAAATACAATGCCAGAAACTTAATCACCCAAAGTGAAACTTGCTGATAGAAAGCACAGCAGCTCTGCCAATGTCATTGCTTCTGTAAGAATCATCATCATCATCACCATCATCATTATGGGCCAGATCCTCTGTTTATCTAAAAGGGCATAGCACCAACTAACTCCTTTTTAAAGGAGAACTGAAGAACTGTTCTATTAACAACCAAGGTCAGCAGTCACTGAAATTTGCTGACGTCAGATACTCCTTAGTGAAATGAGCTGTTGCAGACAGATATAAACACCAAAAAAACAACAACCCACCTCCCCCTGTACCTACAAAACC